GAGTCCAAAATAAATATATATTTAAAAGGATGCAAGTAGTCCTATCAACCCTTGATGTATCAAAATCCCATGTATTTTGATGAACTTTCACTGCCAGATAAAAATGCTTAGGACGTACAGAATTTAACAGAAGTGGGGAATCTAGAGTTCCAATGTCAGGGTGCTAGATTCTGGGCTGCTACTTTTCAATTTGTTTGGTTACTTAGACTGTTTATATGCTGCTTATTATTATTGTTGTTTATTATTATTTAATATTTATTAAGTTTGCATACTACCCTTCATCTGTAGAACTCAGGGCACTTTACAATATGAAATATAATATAAAAAAAACAACACAAAATACATGACAGAAACAAGAACAAAAGACCCGAGAAACTCTCTGAGTGGCTTAAACGTCATCATAATGAAAATGTCCTCATGTTGTCCTCTGAAGCAAGGGTCAATGACCTGCTGAGCAGGTCAATGTTGCTTAGCTCCTGATGAAGGCATTCAATGTTGATATGACTACTAAAATCGTTGGGCTAGATGACCCTTGGGGTCCCTTCCAACTCCGCAATCCTATGATGCTATGAAGATTTTATGCTTTTCTGCCTACATCATACCTGCATCTTTTGCAAATAGGAGTCAGCTACACCTTTAGATTAAGTTTGTGAAGGGTTAAACCACAGGCAACATGGGATTTGTCAATAAGAAGACTGATAACCATTTGCCCATCATTTGGTAACAGTGCGTTTAAACCTACACCGCTAATTATGGCCCAGTTGAAAAATGGAGTGAGATCCCAGCAGCGAAAATGTCGATAGGAGGTTTAGAAAGGATTGATCTGGTGTGAGCTGGAATGGAAGATCCAATGGAAAAAAACCCAAAAAGCTTTAATACACTTCCAGAAAGTTTTAAAAGTTTAGGAAGCTTTGTAAATTTGGAGACTGACTACCCAGAAATAATACCCTGAAAAGCTGCAGATAAATGGTAATTTGTCTATTTGTATAAATAGTTATTAAATGTTAAAAGTGGAGTCTAGATGTTGAACTCCAACTTCCATCAGCTCCAGCCAAAATGGGCCTTTGTCAAGGATGATGACAGTTATATAGTCCAACAATATCTGGAGGACCATAGGTTCTCCATCCTTATCCAAAAAGAGGTATGTTCACATCTCACTATAATACCATTTGGTATTATTCTTTGCCCATTTACTTATAGGCTAAGGATGCCACGATAAGGAGAACAGGATGTAGCTTCCTTGGAGACAGTTTCCATAACCTGGCACCAGACAAGCACATGAAGATTCGAAGCAGAGAACCAACTATATTATTTGCAACCTGACTCTGGGCTGCATATGGAGGCAGAGGAAAGAAGAGAGAAACTTTTTTTATGTATGCCACAACAGCAGCAAGAATACTCATTGCAAAGTATTGGAAGACACAAGATCTACCCACTCTGGAAGAATGGCAGATGAAGGTGATGGACTATATGGAACTGGCGGAAATGACTGGCAGAATCCGAGACCAGGGAGAAGAGTCGGTGGAAGAAGATTGGAAGAAATTTAAAGACTATCTACAGAAATATTGTAAAATTAATGAATGTTAGAATGATGTTGGATAGAAATTAAGTGGTTTTCAGCTGTAATACTATAAGGGAATATGAAAAATGGATTATTAATAGGTAAAAATTTAACGTTACAATATTTTAAGATTAAAGACTAGGATAAAAATTAAGATTAAAGACTGCGATAAAAATGAATGTATTGCCTAGAATGTTGTTTTTGTTCCAAACTTTGCAGATTGTGGACAAAATGGATTGTTTCAAGAGGTGGCAGAAAGATATTTCTAAATTTGTCTGGCAGGGCAAGAAGCCTAGAATAAAATTTAAAATACTAACAGATGCAAAGGAAAGAGGTGGATTTGCCCTGCCAGACCTCAAACTTTACTATGAATCAGCAGCTTTTTGCTGGTTGAAAGAATGGCTACTTCTTGAAAACACTGACATTTTGGACTTGGAAGGTTTTAATAATGTATTTGGATGGCATGCATATCTATGGTATGATAAGGTCAAAGCACATAAAGCATTTAGAAACCACATTGTCAGGAAAGCGCTATTTAATGTTTGGTTAAGATATAAGGATTTGCTAGAAAACAAAACCCCAAGGTGGCTGTCACCAATGGAGGCGAAAGCCTTGAAAAAGGTCAATATAGAGGTCAAATGGCCGAAATATTGGGAAATTTTGGAACAAGACGGAGATAGACTGAAATTGCAGAGTTTTGAAAAACTAAAAAACAAAGTGCGAGACTGGCTTCATTATTATCAGATAATGGAGGCATTTAAATTGGACAGGAAAATTGGCTTCCAGGTGGAAAGATCCAAATTAGAAACAGAATTGTTAGAACCCAAAACTAAGAATTTGTCAAGAATGTACAACTTGCTGCTGAAATGGAATACTCAGGAATACTCAGGATGAAACGGTAAAATCGGCTATGATTAAATGGGCACAGGACGTTGGACATAATATTATGTTTGCTGACTGGGAACAGTTATGGACCACAGGTATGAAATTTACGGCATGTAATGCCTTAAGAGAGAATATTATGAAAATGATATACAGGTGGTACATAACCCCAGTCAAGCTTGCAAAAATCTATCACTTGCACGATAACAAATGTTGGAAATGTAAAGAAACTGAAGGTACATTTTTTCACCTTTGGTGGACGTGCCCAAAGATTAAGGCTTTCTGGGAAATGATATATAATGAATTAAAAAATGTATTTAAGTATAACTTACCTAATAAACCAGAGGCCTTTCTCCTGGGCATAGTCGGCCAAATGGTGTTAAAAAAGGATAGAACTTTCTTTATGTATGCAACAACAGCAGCAAGAATACTCATCGCAAAGTACTGGAAGACACAAGAACTTCCCACGCTGGAGGAATGGCAGATGAAACTTATGGACTATATGGAATTGGCGGAAATGACTGGTAGAATCCGTGACCAGGGAGAAGAGTCGATGGAGGAAGATTGGAAGAAATTCAAAGACTATCTTCAGAAACATTGCAAAATTAAAGAATGTTAGAGTGATGTTGGACTGAAAATAAGCGGTTTCCAGCTGTACAGGTTAAAGTTAATGATAGACTAAGATTAAAGATTAGGATTAAAGATGTTTAAAGAAATGGAAATTTGATATTAAGAGGAAAAATTTTAACGTTATATGATACTAAGACCAAAGATCAGGTTTAAAGAAGTTGAAGTTATATATTTCAATATCTTATTAAAGCTAAAGATTGGGATTAAAAAAGTGGAAAAGAAATTGCTGGACAAACAATTTGGATTGGAATACAAAAGAGGGAGGTATGAGGAAGTCCAGAAAATAAGTAACTAAAAAACGGAAATGGAAAAGAGATATTGTTTTTAATTGTTATGTTTTTTGTTCTTTTATTGTTGAATCTTGCTTTTTTTGTGTTTTTGTTATATGTATTGTGTATGTTTTTCTTTTCTTTCTTTGTTGTTCAAAACTTTAATAAAAATTATTTTAAAAAAACAAAAAAAAACAAAAACAAAGAGGGTAAGGATTTGCTGAACCAACACACCGAACTGGAATACAAAAAAGGGAGGCGTGAGGAGGTCCGGGAAACAAGCTAATGAAAAATAAGTAATGGAAAGATTGAGTTGTTTTTAACCATTTTTTATTTTCTATTTTCTTCTTTTTTTATTATTCTTATTTTGTAATATTTTGAAAATCTCAATAAATATCTTATTAAAAAAAAAAGAAGAAGAGAGAAACTTAGTTGTTTGGGAACAGGAAGAAGCTGTTACCGTATCTCTTAAAACTACACATATATCAGCCTTGTTGGGGAATTACTCTTTGGAGAAATAAATCAAAAGTCAAGAGCTGAAGAAGTGCATGTTGCAAGGGGCCTTGGGATCTGGAAGATCCCATTCAAACAAAACTGCCTAGGGATGCAAGGCAATTTTCTCATTGGGGAACTGCAAACCTCTGGCCAATTACTTCTGCGGCCATAAATGTGACAATCAGTCAGAGCAGAAGTGAAAGCAATAAGAACCTGCTCACAAATCCTCTTCCATTAAAATATATTGTGCGATTTGACACTTTGCATTTTTAAGGTTCTTTTTAAGAGACGTAATAATACAATAACAATGAATAAAATAAATTTGAACAGATTCCATTGATTATACAGAAAACGGTAAAATCGTATTGAAGATTTAAGAGTGACTTATTCTAAACCTTTCCTTCAAGAAAGCAAATGAAAATGGTTAATGAGGAAAAGTTCCTTGTAGATATTTTCAAACAATAGATGCTATAGAATTCAGTGATGGCCAAACTTGGCCCTCCAGCTGTTTTGGGACTACAATTCCCATCATCCCTGACCACTGGTCCTGTTAGCTAGGGATGATGGGAGTTGTAGCCCCAAAACAGCTGGAGGGCCAAGTCTGGCCATCACTACTAGATAAAGCTATATCAAAACTGCCTTTGAGAGGTTTTATTTGCTTTCACTTATCAAAATTGCCCATCTTATTTGCCCTCCTCCCCAATTCCTACCCCCTCCCAAAAAAACCCATAACATTTTGGTTATTGGTGGTACCATCTCATTGCACTTTATATCTCAGATGTGATGTGGACAGAGAATGGCTATGCAGTTTTTAAAAAATGAACAATAACTGAAAGATGAGCCTTAGCCCACGCCGCTCATGCTTCCTTACCAGTTGTAGTGCTTCAAGGAATGTTACGGACATTATGGGGGGGTGAGGGGTCACTATTTATGCAGTATCTTGCAATGTAACCCTTCCCGCTGCAGCTTTGACCTCCCCCCAATGTCCCCATATGGTGATTAAGATCCAATCACGCTGTTTCAAAGCCTAATTGCCACACAGCAATTATTTTCAGAGGGCTTGCAGCAATTAGACCTGAAAAGCAGCTTTCCATTGGCTCTGGTGGGAGAGAGATTTGTGAAGACTAATTACTTAAATGAGGCAGGCCCTTACATCAGGGGACGGGCCATAGCTCAGTAGCAGAGCATCTGCCTTGCAAGCAGAAGGTCCTTGGTTCTATCCTCGGCATCTCCCGGTAGGACTAGGAGAGACCAAGATGGATCAAGGATCTGATTCTGTATAAGGCAGCTTCCTATGTTCCTGTGTAGAGATTCCACAAACTTCCCTTCAGGATTTATATCGGTAACTTCCCTTTATATCAGTGATTTATATCAGTGAGAGCCAACATTTCAATGTCAGTCAGAGGACAGGATTTTCACAGTTGTAGTCAATCTGATGCCTTCCAGATGTTGTTGGCCTTCAGCTTCCATCATCCCTGAGCATTGGCCAGGCAGGCAAGGCCTGATGGAAGTTGGAGTGCCAACAACATCTGGAAAGGACCTTTTGGCTATTTCTGCCATAATATTTTCTGGATATGTTTGTGTGTGTGTGTGTGTGTGTGTGTGTGTGTGTGCGCGTGATAGATAGATTAGATAGATAGATGATAAATAGATAGATGAGAAATCTCAAAGCGCTTCACGATATACATAAAAACTATTAAATTCACTAAAAAATAACAATTAAAATATCCAGATGGCCACCATGAAATTAATAGCTGTGGTGGTATGTAATTGCTTTTATTTATTTATTTATTGATGTTCTGCTTTCTAACAGTTTAAGATATTACAGTGTTTTTAAATGTTTTAAATATGTTTTTATTATTATTTCATTTTAAATAGTACTATTTTATGATTTTGATGTCTGCAGCTCTGAACTACTTTGGAAGGAAGGGTGGAATACATTTTTGTTAAGAAAAATAAAATACAATAAAACAAATGCCACATACTTTTAAGCAGCTACAGCAGCTTGACCAAAAATAAAAAGGGAAAGGAACTACATTTCAACAGTCAGGAAATGACATGGTTAAAAGATAGGTGTTTAACAGTCTGGAAAAGCATTCCATCCACACACCTAATACAGAGGTCATGCCACAAAATAGCCATTTGCTATTGAAAGCAATAGTAAATAAACACTACCTAAGAACATAGGATGCTGTCCTGCTGTATAAACATCCAGGAGACATACCTTTGGAAAATAGGAATCTACTATATACTCCATCTCACCACTGATCTGTCTAGCCCAGTTTTTCCTGCATTGACTGACTGAAGCTGTCCAACATTTCAGACAGCAGACATTCTCAGCCCTATCCGGAGACGCCAAGCATTGAATCTAGGGTCTTCTGCAGGCGAAGCAGATTCTCTACCACTGAGCTATTGCCCTTCCTATAGGTATACAACCCCTAGCAGAATGGTACAATGGGATGTGGTTTAAGGCACAAGGCATAAAGATCTCCTTATATTAGATATAAGGGCTTAGTCTCTCTCCCTCCCACACACCCCATTTGTGAGTTCTGGAGAAACTACTTGAATGTTTGAAGAGGGCTGGTGTTGCATTTATGACTGAAATAACACATGCCACACACAGAATGATTCATATACCTCCTGTTATTAAACAGGTACCAAGAGAAAATGATATGTTAATAGAAGTCTAATTGATGCTTTCTTTAATAATCTTGGCTTGACTTATACAGCACAAGTGTTGGAAAGCAGCGATGCTGGAAGGGAGCACTTAAAAAATAAATCCACAGACACAGTTTCACCTGCAGAAGGGATCTGAGATTTGTGCTGGTTCCAACAAGATAAGTGTGTTGCCAAGAAGGGGTTCCATTTACTTTTACTCCCTCTCCCTCTCTGTATTTTATTTAAGATGGATTTTCTTTCATCCACTTCAAGTGATGAGTGGCATCAATTCCTGAGACAGACAATGAAATAATTGTGTCTATAAAATACAGTTCCTGACTTCTGTCAGATGGAGAAGCCAATGTCTATGCAGAGCTCACCCAGATGCATTGCTTATGCAGTATTTGAAATAGAGAAGTAGACAATCTGGACTTCCTGAAGCTTAACCAAAATGCAGGTATTCTTTGAAATTCACACTTCTCCAGATTTCATAATCTAGTGATAACAATAAAATGTGTATGAAGATGTGTGTGTGTGTTAGGGGACAGTGTGCATTGAAATAGATATGTTTGTGAAAATAGATTATTCAAATGCATTACAATAGGGAAAATTATTTGAAAAGATTTGCATGCAAGGAAAAATTGCATACCAAATGTGTACATTAGGAGAAATGTGCAATAAAATGCTGAACATCTTTTGGATCAACTTTTCCTTTTCAAGCTCTCCTAGATTTAGGGGAGCTAGTCTCAAACGTTTGTTGGGGGAGACCTAGGTTTCTTTGGGGGGGGTGAGTTATTTGTCCTGTCTTCATGCTTTTTATGATGGAGGACCGCTGTAGCCACCCCCAACGACACGTTCTCAAGATGGAGGGGGAGGGAACAGCTGCAGTCGCCTGCGGTTCCTGTGCAATGTTTGCCATCTTGCCAAAGGTTGCAGGCAGCTTTACCTGCAGCAATTGCATGTTGATTGCCCTCTTAAAAGACAAAGTCCAGCAACTGGAGGAACGTGTAGCTACGCTCCAAAGAATTAGAGAGCTGGAGCTCTTCTTGGAAGCAACAGAGCACACCATCTCCACCAAGGAGGAGACAGGGGACTCCCCTGAGAAGGAGGCTAGTTCACCAACACAGGAGCCAGATATATGGAGAAACGTGACTCAAAGAAGTAGGAGGCCTAGGGTTCGCTCTGATTCTTTAGAAATACACAATTGCTTTGAGGTCCTCTCCCCTAGCATGGAAGACGAAAGCAGACTCCATTTGAGGATCTCTCCCTCATTACAGTCGATCAGGTATATGAAGACGAGCAGCAAAGTCAGTCCTCAGGGAATGTGCAGGCGACCTTGGAACAGACAGCTCACGGAAGAACCCCGACCAAACCTAAGAGGAGGCGTGTAGTGGTGATAGGGGATTCCCTACTGAGGGGAACAGAAGCAGTGATCTGTGGGCCTGACAAGATGTCTCGGGAAGTGTGCTGTCTCCCCGGGGCTAAGATCCAAGATGTAACTGAACGACTGCAAGGAATCATAAAATCCACTGACAAATACCCCCTCCTCTTGGTTCATGTGGGAACCAATGACACTGCAAGCAATAGCCTCCAGAAGATCAAAAGAGACTACGAGGCTCTGGGCAGGAAATTGAAGCAATTAAATGCACAAATTGTCATCTCATCTGTCCTCCCAGTTGAACGGCGTGGCCCAGGGAGAGAGGGAAAAATAGTGGAAGTGAACAGCTGGCTTCACAAATGGTGTAAACAGGAACGGTTTGGATTCTTAGATCACGGACTGCAGTTTCTTGAAGATGGACTTCTGGCAAGCGATGGGCTGCACCTCACAACGGTTGGGAGGAATGTTTTTGCCAAAAATCTCAGAAACCTCATCAGGAGGGCTTTAAACTGACTAATGTGGGGGAGGGAGACAGTGCTCCTGAAGGTAGGAGTCTATCAATTGATGAAGATGATCATCCAAATGTCATAAACCAAATGGAGCAAACAGCACGCAGACCTAGTGGTGGGTGGAAAAAATCCTTAAATAAGAGTCACGGGGGAATGATTAGTGGACTTCAGTGTCTGTACATTAATGCGCAAAGCATGGGAAATAAACAAGATGAGCTTGAGCTCTTGGTACAGCAAACTAAATATGACATAATAGGCATCACTGAAACCTGGTGGGATAAGTCCCACGATTGGAATGTAATAATGGAGGGATACAATCTCTTTCAGAGAAACAGACCAGACAAGAAAGGAGGAGGAGTGGCGTTATATGTCAGGGATGTGTATACATGTGAAGAGATCCAAGATTTAGAACCTCAAAGCCAAAGTGAGAGCATTTGGGTCAAAATTAAGGTATAGAAGAATAACAGTGACCTCATTGTGGGAGTTTACTATAGATCCCCAAGCCAAACGGAGGACATAGATGATGCCTTCCTGGAACAGATGGCCAAGCATGCAAAAGGAAGGGAGATAGTAGTAATGGGGGACTTCAATTACCCAGATATTTGTTGGATGTCAAACTCAACCAAGAGCATAAGGTCAAACAGATTCCTCACTGGCCTTGCAGACAACTTCATTGTCCAGAAAGTGGGAGAAGCAACAAGAGGAACAGCCATTTTAGATCTGGTCCTAACCAATGTTGATGACCTGGTTAGTGCGGTAGAAGTGGAAGGATCATTAGGCGCGAGTGATCATGCTCTTCTGAAGTTTACTATACAGCGGAAAGGAGCAGCCAAGCATACTAGGACTCAATTTCTTGACTTTAAGAAAGCCGACTTCATAAAACTTAGGGAAGTGCTGGGTGAGATCCCATGGACAGTAATACTAAAAGGAAAGGGAGTTCATGATGGCTGGGAGTTTGTTAAGAGGGAGATAGTAAAAGCACAACTTCAGGCAATACCAATGAGACGGAAACATGGAAGGTGCCTAAAGAAGCCAGGGTGGCTATCTAAAGAACTTTTAACTGAGTTAAGATTAAAAAAGGATGTGTACAAAAATGGAAAAGGGGGGAAACCACCAAAGAGGAATTCAAACAAATAGCCAGCACGTGTAGACACAAAGTCAGAAAAGCTAAAGCACAGAATGAACTCAGGCTTGCTAGAGAGGTTAAAAGCAACAAAAAGGCTTTTATGGGTATGTTCGTAGCAAAAGGAAGAACAAAGAAACAGTGGGGTCACTCAGAGGAGAAGATGGTGAAATGCAAACAGGGGACACAGAAAGGGCTGAACTCCTCAATGCCTTCTTTGCCTCAGTCTTCTCCGATAAAGAAAACAATGCCCGACCTGAAGAATTTGGAGCAAATGATTCAGCAAAGGAAACACAGCCCAGAATAACTAAGGAGATAGTACAAGAATACTTGGCTAGTTTAGATGTATTCAAGTCTCCAGGGCCAGATGAACTGCATCCAAGAGTATTAAAAGAACTGGCAGATGTGATCTCAGAACCACTGGCAGTCATCTTTGAGAATTCCTGGAGAACAGGCGAAGTCCCGGCAGACTGGAGGAGGGCAAATGTTGTCCCTATTTTCAAAAAGGGGAAAGAGAGGACCCAAATAATTACTGCCCAGTCAGTCTGACATCAATACCAGGGAAGATTCTGGAGCAGATCATTAAGCAAACAGTCTGTGAGCACCTAGAAAGGAATGCTGTGATCACCAATAGTCAGCATGGATTTCTGAAAAATAAGTCATGTCAGACTAACCTGATCTCGTTTTTGACAGAATTACAAGCCTGGTAGATGAAGGGAACGCAGTGGATGTAGCCTACCTTGATTTCAGCAAGGCATTTGACAAGGTGCCCCATGATATTCTTGTAAAGAAGCTGGTAAAATGCGGTCTTGACTATGCTACCACTCAGTGGATTTGTAACTGGCTGACTGACCGAACCCAAAGGGTGCTGATCAATGGTTCCTCTTCATCCTGGAGAAGAGTGACTAGTGGGGTGCCACAGGGTTCTGTCTTGGGCCCGGTCTTATTCAACATCTTTATCAACGACTTGGATGATGGACTCAAGGGCATCCTGATCAAATTTGCAGATGACACCAAACTGGGAGGGGTGGCTAACACCCCAGAGGACAGGATCACACTTCAAAACGACCTTGACAAATTAGAGAACTGGGCAAAAACAAACAAGATGAATTTTAACAGGGAGAAATGTAAAGTATTGCACTTGGGCAAAAAAATGAGAGGCACAAATACAAGATGGGTGACACCTGGCTTGAGAGCAGTACATGTGAAAAGGATCTAGGAGTCTTGGTTGACCACAAACTTGACATGAGCCAACAGTGTGACGCGGCAGCTAAAAAGCCAATGCAATTCTGGGCCTCATCAATAGGAGTATAGCATCTAGATCAAGGGAAGTAATAGTGCCACTGTATTCTGCTCTGGTCAGACCTCACCTGGAGTACTGTGTCCAGTTCTGGGCACCACAGTTCAAGAAGGACACTGACAAACTGGAACGTGTCCAGAGGAGGGCAACCAAAATGGTCAAAGGCCTGGAAACGATGCCTTATGAGGAACAGCTAAGGGAGCTGGGCATGTTTAGCCTGGAGAAGAGGAGGTTAAGGGGTGATATGATAGCCATGTTCAAATATATAAAAGGATGTCACATAGAGGAGGGAGAAAGGTTGTTTTCTGCTGCTCCAGAGAAGCGGACACGGAGCAATGGATCCAAACTACAAGAAAGAAGATTCCACCTAAACATTAGGAAGAACTTCCTGACAGTAAGAGCTGTTTGACAGTGGAATTTGCTGCCAAGGAGTGTGGTGGAGTCTCCTTCTTTGGAGGTCTTTAAGCAGAGGCTTGACAACCATATGTCAGGAGTGCTCTGATGGTGTTTCCTGCTTGGCAGGGGGTTGGACTCGATGGCCCTTGTGGTCTCTTCCAACTCTATGATTCTATGATTCTATGATTCTATGATTCTAAGCTGCACATTGCATCAAAAAACCATTCTGCTTCTGTTGAAATTCAGTTTTATCTAGACCTGTGCACCAGCGGCCTCTCAAAATTCTCCACCTCACTCGCCAGCAGATGATTTTTGTGGGGATAGGGGGAAATGATTTCACTGAATTTGGCACAGGAAATGAGAATTTTACCAACAATGTCCAAAGTGCATTTCTAAATTTGCAGCAGCTGCCACAAAGCATTTCTCCCCATTCACCTGAGCCCCTTTATGCTACTTATGCCACTATTTTGATCCTCCAGAACAACCTGGACTACCTAGAGCCATTGCAGGGCACCGTGGGCAGGACATGGTAACTGCCATAAAAAGAAAAAGGCAGAGAATTTATTAAGAGTATTAGTATTAGTATTATATTTGTACCCAGCCCATCTGATCAGCCTTCTTTTTCCATGACAGTTAGAAAACAATGGATTTTTTTTCCTTTGAGAAATTTCAGCTCTATTTTCACCAGAAACTTAAAAGTTCACTTTGAATTTGTTGACATTCAGATCCCCCCATGGGATCTGCAACCCAACTTCTGCAAAAGTTTGCTAGACTCGATTAAATCTATTTTTGCTTCCTTCCTTTGGGATTTCTCAGATTTGCTGCCCCAGTAGGAACTTTAAAGGTCATCAAAAATTTTATCCTGGAAGGAAATGTGTCAATAAACACCATCGTTAGATGTTCTGATTTTTATTTTTAAAATGAACATCCCCGCTTCGCTGTGTCCTTTTTTCTCTTTTCTTTAGGAAGCTTTATCCCAACAAACCTTGTAGTTTAAATGTCTCAAAACTCATGGAGCAGATGCACTCAATTCAGTCAAGACTCCGAGCTGTTGACTGTCATGCACCATTATCAGACTTCAGAATGCCTGTCTCTTATCTGAAGGATGTTACCTCCCAACAGGGCTGATATTTGCCTTTGGTGTCAGCCTTCAGGCATGTGATCTTTGATCATGGATCAAGTCCTTTGTGGTAATGTAACGTGGTAACAACAAAGCACCAATTTCACAATGACTGACTGGCTGTTGCCTGTTGTGCTTCTGATATGAGTAAGTAAACTTCATTGAACATTCTGAGCATATTCCTAGCTTGGCTAAACACATTCCAATATGTAGCCTTCCCTGATTATTATTAATAATAATGGAATCTATGGGTGCAAGCTCACTAATAGCTCAGTGCACCATTCCCTTCATGTGTAGTGAAGGCTTCAAAATCCCGTACCGTGTATCCAATACAGTATTCATGATCATCAGTAGGTACAAGTTAGTTCGGATTGATGAAATGATTGCTTTCTAGTCCATGCCCTTTCAGGATCCCTTTTGTAGGGATTCCCTTCTCTAGGATCCATTTTAGGAATTCTCTGTGGCACAATTAGTTAGTGCGTTCGGTTGTTAACCAAAAGGTTGGTGGTTTGAGTCCCTCCCAGGGACAGGGACAGCATTTTTATTCTACTGGTGCAGCACTAAAACTGCTTTCACATTTACAAAGCTAAGCAGGGTCTGCTATGGTTTCAAATTGGATAGGGCACCATTTCATAGCTGTCAACCATCCCTTATATGGCAGGAAACTCCCTTATCCCAGCGCTGTTTCCCGCTGCTGTCCTGGATTGATGACATCCCTTAAATTTCCCGGGTTTCAAAGGAAGCAGCTCCTCTCCCTCCCTCCCTGCCGGCCAGGGAAGAGGGAGGCTCCAACTGTGTTGCTTGGCTGCATTGCTCGCCCAATAAGGAGTCTAAGAATGACTGGGGGGTGGAGCTTGCATGCCTTGTGCCGATCAAATCGGCCACGTTGCCTGGGGACTCGCCTTTGCTCAGCGCTTCCCAGCGGAGAGGTGACGGTGGTTTTCCTTGCTGCATCCCCTTTGCCGGATTGTTGCACTATGGGAACCACCGCTTGAGGCTTTGTTTGGCTGCTGGCTGGGCTTTCTGCCTTTGGCTTGGAGGGGCTCAGAAGTTGAACATACCTGTGCTCAGAATCGGATGGATATGTCATTGACGGCCCACTCACCCTTGCTGGGGAAAAGGTCTGTCTGGAGCGGGGGCACATGGTGGGGTAAAAGGAAAGGAGCTGGTTGAGTACAATGGCGGGGGCGATCTCTTGGGAGGGGGGGCTTTTGGATTTGTTTTGGAGGCTCCTTCGATTGACTGTTATGGGGGAAAGGAAAGGAACTGGTTGGCTAAAATCCCTTATTTTGACTGCTGATCCCTTATTTCCGAGGCTGCTGGTCCCTTATTTTCAAATCTGTAAGTTGACAGCTATGCACCTTTTGTTGAGATAGGTTGGACTTGATGACCCTCAGGATCCCTTCCGACTCTACAATTGTGTGATTCTATTATTCTCCCTGCCTGCTTGTCCTGATCCGCCAGGCCTTTGGTCGGGGTTCAGTCTGATTCTTTTCTTTCTGTATAGGAACAAGCATTAAAGAGGTCTCCTAGCCCGCTCACAGGTCCTTTATAAGACCAGTGGTAACATTTGGCCCTGGATAATATTAACCACTCTCAGTTGTACCTGTGGACTGCCATCTGTCCAGATTTTAATTTGTTCTGAACTAATTGTAAGATATATTTTAAGTGATTGCCTATTTTTATGTTCTTATGGTCTTTGTGTACTGTGTAGGTTTTATGATGTTAGTCACCCTGAGCCTGGCTCCAGCCAGGGAGGGCAGGGTACAAATAAATTATTATTATTATTATTATTATTATTATTATTATTATTATTATCCACAGGCCCAAAGGAGGGCCTGGTAAAATGGTTTGATGCAGGGATACCAAAGAAGGATGTCAAAAATGATGGAAAGTTTAAGTCTAGTGCTTATTAGAAGAAAGTATAAACTTACAAAGGATTGCAAAGCCTTGCAGCCTTGAGTCAGTGTGAACACCAAAACAGCAAGTGTTTGTCATGATTATCTACACCCATGCAAGCATTTTATGCATTACTTATACAGAAAACAGCATACATGAGTTTCACCAGAAACTCCTTTCAGTCAACGTGGCCAATGAAGGCAAAGGTGGCAGGTATCCATGTCTATGGATAGCTCCCTTTGCCAATAAACATCTCTCTCATTATCAAAGAAATCTGAGCAGATGGTACAATGTGCACGGATAGGCATCCTTTACAACTGCAAGATCAAGGAAAAGAGGCAAAGACTCAGATGTGGAACAGCCTCTCCGCCTGTCTCGAGCTCTTGTCCTCCAGCTTCCTTCCCTCGCCCTGAACCCGGGAAGCTTCCTGGGAAGGAGCGCTCTCCCTGCAGCCGCTGCTATCAGGTCCAACAATGAACCTGTCGGTTTCCAGTTCAAGCCTCACTAGGTTGCCAGATTCAAATTTGGTTCCTATCTCAGTGATTTCCAGAAGGGAACAGAAATGACGTTCTTAATTAAGGTGCAGGAGCAAGCCAGGGCTGAACTGATACTACCCTTGCTGGTACCTTTCCTGGGAAAATCAGAGGCTCACTATGTCAGGTTCCTATTGGAAGACCGGACAAATGCTAGAACATTAGCAGTGGCAAAGTTTTTATTGGTGGTTGCAAGAACCAATGATCCCTATATTCTGAACAAAATGCATGTTTAACCTGGAGGTAGGCTGTATGAATTGTGTATTGCTTTGTAACGATTTGTTGGGTCTCTGGACCGTAATAAAGATTGATTGATTGATTGATAAACAAAGGTTCCAAGCAAAGGAATATAAAGGAATATGAAAAAAAGAAAGTGTTTGAGGAGAACATTAAGACCAACAATACAGAATTATTTAAATGCATTACAAGCAGGAATCCAAGTGGTGCTGGTGCAAACGATGGGCATTTCGTTCCCAACACAGGACTGCAGATACAGCCATTTCCCTTTCTTCACTTCTAAGATTGGTTTGTTGAGAGCAAATTAGTCAGGCAAAAAAGAAGAGTGATGAAGCCAGGGACATTTTGGTTGCAATGCAATTAACATTTCCATCTTCCAAGAAAAAAAGGGTTAAAAAAAATACCATCTGGTTTTCGAATATTAAATGTGATGCAAAAAAAAAAAAAAAAAGCGCTCTTGTGTGCCTCCCTGAAATTATATTTCTCATTTGCTGTTGGCAATCAGGAAAAAAGCAAAAAGAAACAGAAATGTTCTCTGTGAGTAACAGGGCTGCGTGCAAAGTGGAAGCTAATCAAGCAGGTGCAGATCATCATTCTGATAATGATTCGGTAATAACTGCCATGCCAAATATGGCCAATGACTGCAAACACTATCCTGAAGTTGGTATGTTTTGAAGGACCACATTTTAGAGACAAAAACCTGGAGTGGAATCAAGGCCAGATTCTGGCTGTCGGGATTGTCTAGAGCTGGTACATTTGCATAGATGGAATGTACTCTTGAGCCAGTGTGGTGTAGTGGTTAAGAGCGGTGGACTCGTAATCTGGTGAACCGGGTTCGCGTCTCCGCTCCTCCACATGCAGCTGCTGGGTGACCTTGGGCTAGTCACACTTCTTTGAAGTCTCTCAGCCTCACTCACCTCACAGAGTGTTTGTTGTGGGGGAGGAAGGGAAAGGAGAATGTTAGCCACTTTGAGACTCCTTCGGATAGTGATAAAGCGGGATATGAAGTCCAAGCTCCTCCTTTTCTTCTTCTTGAGGTATGATGATCCCTCCTGCTTGCCTGCATGGAGATAAGTGCATGTATGTATGTATGTATGTATGTTTATTACATTCATAAACTACCATTTTCTCCAAGGAGCTCAAGGCGGTGTACATGCTTCTCCCTCCCCCACCATTTCATCCTCACAGCAACCCGGTGAGAAAAGTTAGGATGAGAGATGGTGACTGGCCCAAGACACCCTGTGAGCTTCATGGCTAAGTGGGGATTTGAACACTAGCCTCTTGGGTCGTAGTCCAACACTCTAACCATTACACCGCCCTGGCTCTCATGTAGAAAGCTGTGACATTTGCATAGATAAATGTAGCCTATCGTGAAATGGTAAGAGATGTGCCTCTAGCCCAGCCGACCAATGGCGTGTGGCCCGCAGAAAGTAGCCCATGAGGGAATGTGGCCCTTGGGGTTAAGGCATACCCCCCACCTGGTCTACAGTAGTCACCCTCAGGTTATGTATCACATATTTATTTATTTATTTATTTATCTATTGTATACATGCCACATGGCAGTCCCTTCAAGGTCCCTTCAGCACCCCCTCTTTGGGTTTTTGAAAACTTTGTAACCCATTTCATGACTCCAGCGCATGATTCTCTTGCATGCTCGAAGTGACTTCTTTATGAAGAAAGTTTGCAACAGCTGTTTATCAGCTCCAATTGTACGCAAGCTGAGACCCTACCTGCCCTTGGACTGTCTCGCCAGAGTGGTGCATGCTCTAGTTATCTCTTGCTTGGACTACTACAATGCGCTCTCTGTGGGGCTACTTTTGAAGGTGACCCAGAAACTACAACTAATCCAGAATGCAGCAGCTAGACTGGTGACTGGGAGCAGCCACCGAGACCATATAACACTTTCTCTTGAAAGACCTACACTGGCTCCCAGTACATTTCCGAGCACAATTCAAAGTGTTGGTGCTGACCTTTAAAGCCCTAAATGGCCTCAGTGCAGTATACCTGAAGGAGAGTCTCCAGCCCCATCGTTCTGCCCAGACACTGAGGTCCAGTGCCGAGGGCCTTCTGGCGGTTCCCTCGCTGCAAGAAGCCAAGTTACAGGGAAACAGGCAGAGGACCTTCTCGGTAGAGGCACCCGCCCTGTCGAATGCCCTTCCATCAGATGTCAAAGAAAAAAACAGACCTTTAGAAGACATCTGAAGGCAGCCCTGTTTAGGGAAGCTTTTAATGTTTAATAGATTCTTGTATTTTAATATTCTGTTGAAAGCCACCCAGAGTGGCTGGGGAAACCCAGACAGATGGGCGGGGTATAAATAATAAGAAATTATTATTATTATTATTATTATTATTATTATTAACTTAGAGAAAAGATGAGTAAGAGATGACATCATAGAAACCGCAACACCAGAACTCATGGATAGCCTATGAATGTTGGAATATTCAGAATAGTTAAGAGAAAGCATTTGTTCACACAGCACATGGTTCTGCTATTGAACTTGCTCCCCCAAGAGGCAGTGATGGCCACTGACCTTAGGTGGCTTCAAAAAAGGATTAGACAGATTCATGAAGAGGGCTACGAATGGCCGCTAGCCATTATGGATATGCTCTGTTTCCATATATGGAGGCAGTGATGCTTCTGGAAACCAGTTGCAAGAAACCACAGGAGGAACGAATGCCCTTGTGTTTGAATTCTGCTTGAGGGTTTCCCACCGGAATCTTGCTGGCCATGGTGAGAACAGGACGGTGGATTGGATGGACCAGTGGCCTGATCCAAGAGCCTCTTCTCATGTTCTTACGCTTTATCCCCACCATGTGTTAGGGATGGGTTGTTGGCTGAAGTGAGACAAGAGCTGAGATC